GCAAATGAAAATGCCCTGAATAATCCAACAGCTGTAGTTGATGCAGTTTGGAAATCTAGATATTCCATATACAGTGATCCATCGTAATGAAGGCTTTCCCAATTGTGCTCAGCTTAGGGCTTAACTGTGTTGATATCAGAAATGGGTGAAAGCTGCTACGACAAATACCTCGGACTTTGACACAGTCCTCTTCGAGAATGCAGACATTTCACTCTTACTTGCATTAAACTAAGGTCTTGAGTTTCACGTAGGTCTCTCTTTCCCCCATTCTATTAACGTTTGTCTGGTAGCTGAACACATGGTCGTCCAAATTTCACACCATTGACGATCCATACGTAATTCAGATGAAAAAAATCAGAGGAGTGAAACTTCCATGTGAGAAGTCCAAGTCCATGTATCCACTCAGCAAGCAAACACGTGATGTGGTTTCCGTGTTTGAACAATGGGTGACGTTATATCCAATCTAGCCGCGAGTTGGTCACAGTGCTGACCAGTCGCTGGTGGTCGAACGGTTGTGTTCAATCTGACAGACGGCAGGTAGTGCGTTCAAAACTTCCTGCGGGAGCTTCATGACCCGCGCACAGCTGATTGTTCGCAATAAGGATGAAACAGCTATACAACAGTCTTCGGCTTTTGACTACTGATTGGCCTCCCTTACACGGCGGAAACTCTATCGAAAACTTCCAAAACGTATCCACGCTATCAACAATTTTGTGATTTCTGGGGGTTCCCTTTTGCGTACAGATGTCTTTACTAAACAGGTAAATTGCTATGTGTTCGAGAATATATTGCCAGTCTACCATACAATTACCAACTTCATGGAATCACGGTGAAGAGCACTGCAGCATAAGTTGTTCTTCACAATACGCGGTTCACGGCGCTTTCTTCAGATGAATAGACTACATAAAGCTAGTCAACTAGAAGAAATTATTTCGCTTATCTCACAAAATATTGGCTTTCCAGCTGGATTTTTCAAACCATATTTGGATGATGCATAGCTTCATGTTGGTTTAGGCTGATTAAAGATATAAACAGATTTCTGCGTACTTTTGGTTCCAGTTCACCAAGTAATTTGAAAAAGGTCGGTTAAAGAAGCTGTACATTTCAAATGCGAACTTAATTGTCGTTTCAGATCCGAAGATTCGGCAACCGAACCATCATTCAACTGAAGAAGATTATGTTGAAATGGATAAGCATGAAGGTAGGTCTTGATTGTATCCATTCAAGTATACAGGTGACTGTGGTTTTCGGCTATCTACAAACTAATTTAGGCAAACTCCACTGCTGTTATCAGTAGTGCTCTTTCATCCCATAGTTGCGATTCAACATTCCCAATGCTTTCAGTATTACTTTCATCTTCCGCAAAAGGTGATCAATCATTTTCCAAGTGTAATCAAGTCTAAAGAGTTTGCAATAAGTTCTGTGGCTGTCGAAAAATACACTCATGCATATGTATATTTATACGTAATTAGAGTTTACTCTACGCTAAGTTGCAATAAAGACCTGGATACCAGCATTTATCAGGGAGCACCAAATAGAACATTATACACAGCCAGACATCTATATCAACCAATTGGAAGTGATGTTCAACTGTTCTTACCTGACCCTACACTTTGCTCTCCAAGAAAGCTCTTTAAATCACTGCCAACATAGTATAAGGCAATCGAACTAGAACATGGCGGAGGTCCCAATGCCACTCGGTTACATCGAAGTGGTGTTCTGACATAAGTCCAACAATAGCATCGACAACCCTGCTATGAGGAAGATGTCTCCCCATGATGCACACTACCAATAAGGCTGTTGAAGACCCTTCGGCACCTTGCCACAAGTTTCGCCTTTCTTGAGGCGGACCATTGAGTTCCGTCAAGAAAAAAGACTGCAATATCTCGAATATTATATCAATGGAATCATGATTCGGGCTTTGCTCATCATATTCAGCTGGGATTCAGCTGAGTCTCCAGCTAGAGCCAATTTGATTTATCAACGAGTGCACTTCACTAAGTCGTTATCCTACTCGGAACGACCTGTAATTTTGCAAGGGCTAGCAATTAATGTTACTTTTTAACTGCGTATCGAGTATCTGGTAGTTGGTTCGACAAGTAGCTAGCTATGGAAGTATAAGTATACTGATACCAGTAACAACAGGTCTCCCTATGTAACTATGAGGTGCATACTGTTGATGATTTTCAAAAAAGTTGAAGCAGCTCTAGAATAACGGAAGGCTTCCTGACATAGGTTGGCTTCACCTGTAGCATGAACCATTGATTGACGTCTCTATACCTCATTGTATTGTGGGCTGACAGTCCCAGCTATCTGTCAATCATATTCCGCCATTCCACTGTTGGCCTTACAGACCTAGCAACAGCCAACTTCTCACATGCATCACGTCGCATCTACGACTTGCACCCAGGGTTTCAGTGGATAACTTACCAGGACTGGATTATTTTAGGCACCCTGCCGGTGTGCAGCCGCAGTGTTGTCCGAAAGAAGCACGAGGGCCGACAAGCCTGGTCAGCAGCGATTCAGACTTGGGTTCGCACCGCGGACCTTCCGTTAGTGGACGACCGGGTAGACAAAATAACTATTCACACCAACCGGGAAGTTTGACAAATGCAGAACCCTGAAAATGTAGAGGAAATGCGAGGTGCATGAAACGCCTGAAGACCGTATGTGGCAATACTCCAGAAACTTCTGTGAATGTGATGATCGGGGTTCATGAGAATGGGCCACACACCTCTAAATAAGTGCATATTCTTTGGACTTGAGAAGATTTATCAAGAATCACTTGTGTTGGCGTCTGTCCTTCTTAGCAACTTTGTAGGATAAGCAGAGAGATCTTAGGAACTAGACAGCTAACTTTTTTTAACAATGCATTTAGAGTCATCTTATTGCCATGAGGGGCTGCTCAACTAGCTGATATCAGATTAACCAGGGGAATTCTAACAATACTTCAGGCATAAATGCGTTCAACCAGTCGAAAAAAGTTAAACCATTCGAAAGTTGCCTGAATTCCCTCATCGAACGTTCTCTAATTACAGATAAGATTCCGCAGTACTCTCTGCAGGGTGATGACCGCTTCACACATAAACCACCAGGCCATGGGTTTGTGAAAATCTCCGTAAAGCTCACATTTGTTGCCCGTAACGTAAGTTCCAGTATTCTGACTATACAAGTTTTTCCACACTAAAGTCAGAGGCTATTTTATGGTGTATAACAAGTGCATGATAGGAGAGGCAACTTAGCCAGCCGTTGTAGTGATAACCGGTGTTCAAGAAGGAGAGCTGACAGGCTTTTGGTAGATGAACAAATTGTTCATTTATCACACTTGTTTGTTTTGACCATGATATCCAATGCTACCTCACACAGAACTGCGTTTTGCTTATCTTCACTTAAGCCTGAAACTTAAATTCTACCCCTGGTCCGAGGGATCATTAGGTTACGCAGAACCTAGGTTAACACATTTGACAGGGCTATTTGACCATTTTGACCAGCTGCTCTTCAAACAGCTAGAAAAAGTTCCCACTTTATACGGGTAAAGGCATACTACGACTTCGATTTTTGATTCGAAAAGGCCAGACTCTTCGAGCCTTCACTACAGCTAAAATATTAGGGACCCCAAACACTATCTAGCAATGATGAACATTTAATAAGACGCCTAGAATAAGACTGACTGGAATTTTCCTTATTTCAACGGATCCCCTTCTACTGCAAGTTTTCCGGGGGGAAGCACATTAGGTCAGCATCCGAGACATAAAAGTTTGTTTTTCAGGATTGTATCTAACAGCTGCCCAGATATCGTAAGCACAAGTGTTTTAAAATGCTATGAAGTTCATCTTTTGGCAAATACTTGAACCATACTACTGTAATTACAACATGGCTTATAGCCCAACAGTTACCAGCTTGGACTTCATAAGTTAGGCGAAATTAGTTTCTGAGAGAGTGATACTCTAATAAAGGCTTCATTTTAAGGGTTACATTGATAAAAGGAAGAAAACCAAAAGAGTCGCTCCCCGGAATTATTCCGACAACGTATATCATAAGGAACTTATGTAATTGACACACTCACTGGGGTCTTACCCCCGACGGGTGATGTGGCGCCACTGCGAGGTCGATTGAGGGTGGGAATGGAACACAGAGTGTCCAAGGAGTGGCATATACCGATCACTTTTATAGCATTCTACATATTTAATCTCCCTTATGCCTTGTGCAAAGTAATCAAACAGAGTAGGGGGTAATTTCCTTGTCAGTTATAACCATCGTTGCCAAAAGCTCCTACTGAATGACCCGGGTGAAAAAAATCACCTGGATTTTGGCTCATCTCGTCAGATCTATGGTGCGATGACCTGATACCAACAAGAAATCACGGTGGCCCAATGTTCGCTGGAGATTACGCGGTCCATGAAATTTTATTTATTATCCTTTTCCTCTCCAGTTTGAATCGTTTGACTGCAAAATGATGGAGCGATTGCTGGAGCCCGATCTCGGTGACCCATACGACATGAAGCATAGAGTGACACTCGAAAGTGAGCCGTATGCACTATTCTCTAAAATGTTGCGCTCAAAGGAACTCGTTTGGATCCGGTTAGTGACAAACGTTTCGATCATTAGTTTGGTACTGCATTGATAAGAATTGTTAAGCGTAAACTAATGAAAGCAACGTGAATAACCAATCGTCAGAGCACCTTCTTTAATGCTCTGACATAACAGAGTGTAGTAGCTTGGCAGAAAGCAGGGCGCCAAGCGGAGATCTTCAGTCAAGTGATGTAGGGTCAAACAGACTTGGAAATCCGTCAGCAAACTCCGGAAGCATCAAGTTTTAACTTCCCTTAAGATTCCCGGTTACGATGTGATGCACTAGCACATCTAAACATCAGTAACTTAATTTAAAGAGTTTAAGGAGTCAGAAGGGACGATCCGTTTAGGTGCTTTTTTGTTCATGTTAAAGTTGGTTATCTACCCACCTTTATTTTCCACTTTAATGCACACAGAAAAAAGACCATAACAGATGCCGAGAAATACCGAGCTCCATACTGTGCTGGAGGGAGTGACGACTTCACCGGTAAGAAGACAACACTGCTGAAAGCTTTGTTTTCCGTTCTACTAACTGCCAGGCCGTAAACAAAATTAATTTTGGATGATCCAGGACAGTAGTTACTGTTGTCGGATTTTCCTAGTATTTTAAGACATTTCTTAGGTCATTCATTTTTAGGAGGGTTTGACCTTTGAATAACCGACTTTTAAAATGAGAGAAAAACCGAACGATGCAAATGAGATCATAGCGGCGGATTCGAATATGACTAGGATTAGCCAATAGTGAAGTAAAATGTGGAAGCTATTTCTCGCTGTGTAATCTAGTTTTCGAAAAGATACACAGCTGGTGAGAGATAACACTGCGGTACAAATGAAACTTCAGCTTATTTGCACACAGATACGATAAAAATCGCAAAATTGATGTTTTTAATTCATCCTACAATTACAGATGTTGATCGTTCCTGGTTGGTCATAATTTCAGTTTTTAAAACTCTGTCGATTTATAAGTAGCCTACAAGACGAATAATTTCACAAGGTAAGTGGAACTCCCAGTGGGGTCGTCACTTGAGAAGGTGGTCAATCCCTGACCATGTGATTGAAGGACGGGGGTTCGAACGGCTAAGTGTTCAGACTGCTTGCTGGGAGGCGGCTGGTTTGAAATCTCTCTCGAGCTGCGCACTGCTGATGATTCCCAATAAGCAAGATGCGGGACAGCTTTTCAGCACAAATAAGCTTAAATTACAAGATAAAATTTCAATTCAGAGCCTACCTACCTTTTTTCTATGTGTTTCACTGATGTTGATTCCATTTAAAGCCCCATCTTTGTTGACATATTGGCAGGCAAGTATGACTGTTGCACATAGTTGACACTAGCGTAGCATAAAGTGTCAACCAGGTTAGTCGAATTGGTGGCAGGAGCCTGTGTTTTGCCCAGAATGACATGCCTTCTCTGGTGTTTGGTTAATGTCCGTTACTTACAGGCAGATATGAAATTGAGTTTGACTAGGTGGTCCGAGTGGAATAATGAAACAGTGTTCACTTCTGGGAGCACTGATCAAATCCCATATAGACCTCAACTATGGTAATCCAATTTCGCAACCAAGAAGCATCTTGTCCATCCAAAAGACCTTTATGAAAAATCATAAAGAGTGCGTGCGCATCACAGGAGCAACAATTGCGCTTCTAAAGTTAAGCCCGTGGAGGAGACTTAATCACCATACCTTTGGACCACAAATGGGACGCCACTGCCTCCATCCTGGTTTCTGTGATGTGGTTCACATTCGTTCCCATAGTATAATTATTGGTTCACTCCTGCTTCACTCATATCAAACTCAAGTAGAGAGTCACCAACCGTGGAACCTCAGTTACTAGTGATCAAATTTCTGTATATAGTTCTCGTGGTCAGTGGATCAAAAAACGTATCGTCACACTCCTAGAGGAAACAGAGACAAACCATGTGAATTGCAAAAGGTTAGCCTGATTAATCGCCTTGTACAACCTTGCGTGTTTTCCGGAATTTAACGCCTAAAAAGAGTGTGATTTTGTTTCCTTATCTCTAATCGTTATTATCTTTCTGATATAAATGTGTTATTTATCGGAATTTCCATTTTTGCAAATGGCTATCACCATTGAGGAATTTATCATTCATCTACACACCCCTGGGGATATTCCAAACGCACGGTTACTTCCAGAGGTGGACTGTGTTATTCAGGTTTGACTATTACAGAAATCCCAATGCATGCACATTTAAAAGGCAACAATGGATTGTCCAGACATAACGGACCATTCAGTGGTTCGACAGTCCACAATATGTTTAACTTTTCTTAGGGCTCATCATGTACGGACAGTGTCCAAATTGCCCCAAATCTTACCATAAACGAGAAATTCAGTTGTATTCAGCTGAGCCTTCTGTTAAAACCTAATTTGTGTGCAAGTGATAGTATTTGTCGAAATATGTCTATTGCTGGTTCAACTGGAATATAAGGTCGAGGAAAACTTGGTGACGGCGCCAACCTGATGATTCCCAACAAGGTCGAAACCGTATATGGGACGTCAGTGTTTCCAGCCTCCGTAAGAGCAATGTATTCCGTCTGGTAGCGCCTCGAACATCGTAGTAGCTGAAACGCGAGTTGCCTCGTTCAGCACATTCATTTAAAGCAAACGATCATAAATTAGAGATTCAGCTGAAATTACTTGAGTTCCTGTCAGAACCAAATTCGTGAGCTAATGCGACCGTTTGTTGAAGCCCACAATGGATTTTCGAACTACATCCGTTCGTGGATCCAACCACTTCTCTTTACTAGGTCGGCAGTTGTAGCCTGTAAAGTTGGCCACAACAGTCTAACGAAATAAACCGTTCAGCCACCAAGCCGGGTCTTGATTATGTGTCCTCAGGTCAATACAGACGCCATTTAGACAGAAAGTAGTAAGATAAAAGTGACTGACACAAAAAATGAGAAATTTTTCATTCTGCTGACGGGTTAGCAGCCAACTCAAAACTGTTCAGCTAAATGAAGTCAGGATTTTGCTACCATAGTTGAAAAATTATTAAGCATTTAGACTCTCAGTGGGGTTAAGGCTTTGGGTAACTACGTCGGTGAGCTCTTCATTATTATTTTTTCTCTATTGGTTACCCCTGACGTCCACCTTATTTTAAAATACACCGTTACTAACCTAGATTCTGAAGATATGGATCCCGGAAAACTACCATTCTACCCTTCTGATGGATTCACTGCCGTGTTTGTGAACTCTGGAATGGATGATGTTGAGAAAATTACCTTCCACGATGATAAAAAGCAGGACTGTGTCATAGAAAAACAATGTTTTGACGGATTGTGTGAGGTGAGTCTTTTTTGTTGAGTTACTCGCTTAGCTATTACAAGCGCCAGTGTTCTGTACGTTTTGAAAATCTCTGCTTCTCTTAGGAACGGATTATTACAAGCAAGTTACTTGTTTCAGCATTAAACCTGATAGTGACTGATCGGAAACGCTGAAAGGGCTGAAAGCTACGCGTCAGAAAATACGGACATAGGTAAGCGTCCACCTTCTGAGTTAATGAGGATTTAAAATCATAAAGTACATTCAGTAGTAAAATCACAGCTATTAACACGACCCATGGAGGACTAGCTTTAGTTTTTGATTGTCAGTGTATCAAATCAGCTTCCGTAAGAATGAGCTTCCGTGCCACGATGGTCCCAAGTGTTTCATCACCACTCTATTTCTATTCGCGGTTTTTCTTGAATTTCTGCAGACCTAACTATTTATCTTAAACTGCATCCCTTCGGTTGCGACCATCCTGCGATGTAACAGAAACCGGATCTTACGAAGCTGAAGTCTTCTTACATCAGTTTTACACCGTTATAGCAGGCAAATAAAGCCCTCGTCTTATTCCGTTTAGCTTCAGCAACATTTCGTAAAGTTTCTATTGTAGAAGCAACGATGGAGCTTCCACACATTTGTTTTACATGGAATTTTGAGTGACAGTAACAGTGGATAAAGACGGGAAATCTGTTCTTCACTTTTCCCCACCACCAGAGATCCGGAAGACAAAAAATAACTAAACAGTGGACAGGTTATCGGTTGTAGGAAAGCACGCAGGTATAGCCCGAATACGTGTTCTGCTTGGCACCTGAATGAAAATTGTTGATGACGAGGTACCCATCAACAGACCTCACGGACGATAAGAATGGCTCAGCGTGAGGTATAGCCCGAATACGTGTTCTGCTTGGCGCCTGAATGAAAATTGTTGATGACGAGGTATCCATCAACAGACCTCGCGGACGATAAGAATGGCTCAGCGTGGGACCAAGGTAAACTTCCGAGCGTTCACTAAATCAGGTTGGTTGAGTGATCACGAAAATCACAGTAAAATTCTAGTTTAGTGCCCAAATCGGTTAGGTGCCCAAATCCCACTTTGTCATAGGATCACCGGACAGAAGTATTAACTTCATGTATCCGACCCAAATTACGTTCCGTGTTTCTGTTAAATCACATCCATGCGCCTGTTTTTGGAAGCTAATCGTGTGGAGTTGCCTAGTACAAACTATCGTAAATTTCAGAAGGAAATCTGATTTGACACACAATCAAATTTTACCACACATTGTGGGAACGAGATAGTCTGACGTGGAGACGACAACAAGTCTTCAAGCTAATATATTTAGGATCCATAATGGTTCTATCACTTACACTGAATCAACAACACTGGAGACTGAAAGACTTCTAATGTTGTCAGCCTGCCTACACATCAGCTGGCAAGCTAAAAGTCATGGTTGTGGCGTTCGACCCGTTTGTTGAGCTGAGCGACTTGGTTACCAACGTTTCGTTTCACTAGATTTGGATTGGCCTCAAGGGCTTGCCCACGATACATATCTCCGTCCTCCAAAAACCTCCATTGCCCTCCGGTCACAAAAAGGGTTCAGATGTTGGCCAGCAACTTCAATTCGCACGCCAGAAGTTCAATGATGGACGTCGAATCTGACGACGACGTTCGTATACTTTGAGCCTCCAAATGTATTCCGGCTTTTATCACTAGGTTTGAGGCCACAAGATTTTTAGTCAGCACCAACTCCATGTATTGGTCCGGCGCAGGATAGAGGTACCACGGTTCAAAAGACAAAGTCAAGAGTATACGAACATCCATTCAAAAATGTATACGTCTTGTTCAAATAATGGTTTTAAGTGGTCTAATGCCGAAGACGTTGAATTTTGCGTATATATGTGAGGCGTTAGACACTACAGTTGCAACCAGGAACAGCAGGACATATAAACACCAAGGTGAGTAGGGCCAAAACGCTGATTGAGTAAAATTTTTAAGTAAGTTATCTCTTATCTACAAAATGTTTGTTTCTTGGGCTATACTGGCGCTTAATGAGCAACGATGACATTCATAATGAATTGATTGTTTACGCCTTTGCTGAAGCTGCTAGTAAATGAGAATTAACAAGAAAACCAAAGCGGTATCACTTCTGTTTTCAGTACGTCATTTTATTACACTTTAAAAGTAATCCCTTCTTCGGGGCTCATGATGGAGTTTCTATTGTCTGCTCGGCCTCACACGCCAGTGACCGGAAGCAGGGTACTTAGTGAAGCCGGCGTTCGGTCTCTCAAAAGTCTATCCTCATACAACACCCACAACTACAGATGGGACAGGTTATTCCAAAATTGTGAACACTGGTGGCTTAGGTTGTACTATCGATAGACGATTGTCGGAATTTGCACCTTGTACCATTCGGAAATATAAGAAACACCCAGCCGCAGTCAGATAAGTGGCGCTAATGACCATATGATCCTGGGCATTTCGACGGAAATCTCTTTAGAAAATGGTCCGTGACATGATATTAGGGGTGGCTTCCTGAAGTTGTATGACTTAGTAGGAACACTACAAGACCCACCTAAATTTGTTGTTGTCAAGAGTCGCCCTTCCAATGGCCACCTGGTAGTCTCAGAGTTGAGGAACCAACGGAAGTGTTGTCCATAAACAACCTTAACCTGATTATTACCAGCCTCCATAAGCTTAATTCACAACCAAGCCAGCCGATATGTTATATTAAACCGCCACGTTATTTCGACATACTCGAAGCAATGGCAGGCAGAAAGAGCACTCAGAACGATTGGTAAGATGAGGTGTTTCAAAGTAACACTTCAGATCATTCTCCCAGCGATTATTGATGTTGATCAGTCGGCCTAATAGCTTTTTGCAAAGCTAAGTAGACACGTGTTATAAATTCCAGAGACAGTACTTCCTGTTGAAACGCACTGCAACTGCTCTCAACTTGGATAGAAGGTTAATACTAACTGGCCGTCAGTTGTACTAGGGTGAGACTATGCTTCGACATGGTGTTCACAGTTATCTTTATCGTTGTTATATCTCTCTGCTGTCCTCGTTGCAGTGCCTTGTGTCGGAAAAAAGCCTCGCAAACAAAGAACGTAACAGCCTTATTGCAAACAAGTAATTCCAAAAGTTACAACGGCCTCGCGCTATTCAAATGGCGGTTTTGACATTAATCCACGCTGTCTGATAAGCTTTTATTGAACGCCCATCAACATCGACCGTACTTCTATGAACGCTGGTCATATTCGGTCGTGCTTTTAGGGCATGCCTGAACCCTCATCGACTTCTGTTGAATGAATTGAGTGATTGACTGGCCTGGAAACTTGACGGCTTCCTTATTGAGAATTTGGTGGAGTTTGTTAGTCTCAGTGGGCTTTGGGCCTTCTAGGGATATTTTCAGGAATCTGACCTTCCTGACAATCTTTATCAAAGCAATGTATGGCGGGACTGGTTGGTTAGTGAAGCACAAAATTTCTTGCACCCCTCATTCATCTAATTATTCATATGTCGGTCAGTTCTTGGAACGTTTTTGTTCCTAGTCTGTAAAGATTATACACAGACGTACCTGGTGATTCAAAATATACTGGATGAGAGGCTTTTTACCGGTGGACGAATACTTTCTACAGTGCAGCGCCTGAAGGTCATGGGTTCGAAACTCCTTGGAGTTTCCTGAGATGCGCACTGCTTATAGTTCTAGTAGGGATTAAGCGGCTGCTTCTTTGCTTTCCAGCATAAATTGTCTATAGGAAGAATGCTTGTTTAAAAAGCCACAGATCTCCCTACAATATCAACAGCCTTGAAACACTTTAATCGTAAGCAAGTTAGTCAATGCTCTCCTGAATGAGATATTCATTCGGTGCCATCTATTCAAGCTACGCTTTGTGGCTGAAGTAAACGCGTTCTCCGAAATTGTTCGAGGCTATTAGGTTAGTAATAACAATAATAACCGCAAGCTAGCAAGTTTGAGACCACAATATTGAAACTGGTTACGGGGACAAACGACCAGCTGATAATCCATTTTGAGTGTGTCTATAATGTCAGTGAACCGGCAAACCAGAAATATATTCTCGAATTCACTGTTACTCAGGAGGTGTCCGGAATAAAGTAGCACATTGTTTAACCGATTGTTCTTATGGTCTACATCAGGGAAGGTCACTTTCTGTGTTTACACTGTTCCTAATGGCGGTGCTATTTCATATCCAGCTTGTAAGTATTCCCTTCTATGGAGTTCAGTCTGAGAAAACCAGTCATTTATTCACCCCAGCTGTCTGTTAGAAAGACAACTAAAGTGTTACTGTGCAGTTTTCCTCACTTATCTTGCTTATCTTATCTCTTATGCTTACACGTAAAAATCTGTGTTTCATCAGTTCACCTGTTTTTTACCCACACAAATGGCCACCATTAACTTTAATATCATCATCTTAAAGTTCAATGTTTCCACGAAAGCCTACTTTTACGTCGAAATGTCTAGGTCACTGTCGCAATACACCGCCAGATCAAAGTATCCCTCACTGAACGTGGTGAGGCGCTTGGGGGCATCATTCAACTGAAACTTGATCAGCGAACAGAAAAGACCGAACCCAACGCCTATATTCTGGTTGCTTCCCGTGCAGTGCACGCGCGTGACAGCCGGGTGGTGAAACAACGTGTGGTACTTCTGAAGGGGAACCGATACATATCCGAAGCAGAACTCGTGACTGATGAGGCCTACCTGTCAAAACGTTGTCAGCAAACGAGAGTGACTATTAGGCGCAGTCAAAACGAGGTGATCGTAAAGGTATGTTTGTCGACTCATCTGGAACTCACAGCTCGATTCTTTGTGTAAGTTGATCTGAATACGCTTTAGGCAATATGGGAACCCGTCGCAGGCCATTGTCGACCAGTGAAACAGCATTACTGAAATGAGGCTGCGTTTCCTTCTGAAGTTAACTACACAAGTCCAATGTCCGGATGTGGTTCTTTCTAACAAGGAATTAATCAGCAAACTGCGTTTAGTTGACTTGAGACTACTGAGGTAGTTGATCATCCGCAGAATCAATCACTATGATTTTAATTTCCTCCTTCTGGAAACCATTTCTAACGGAGATCATGTCAAACCAATCTATGCTGAAATACCAAGACTTTACAGCCGTTTTATTCTCAAAACACTCGATGAATGAAAATTCCATCTGAAAGTTCGTTACTTGAGAAACCAGACAGCGCGTGTGACCACTGGTATGGATACTTTTATTTAGGGATGCATGGCGTTATATCCCGTCTAACGGCAGGCCGATCACATTGTTGATTAAGAACTCATGGCCGAATAGGTGAGTGTTTCAGTCACTAGCCGGGAGGTCGCGGGCCCTAGACTTTCTGAAGTATCATTGCCGATCATTCTCAATAAGAATGAAACAGCTGCATGGTGCTTCTCAGCTCTTCCACATAGGCTGATTCCACTGACTGGAAGGGATCTTCATTAAAAATCCTCATGTCTACTCATGCAACCAACGACTTATTACAATCGTCTTCCGTATAAGGATTAATGGGCTTCACTTGCGGCCGGAGATGAAGGTTTGCTTGCATCACTTCCAGCAAGTAGTACGGTAGGTTTGGTCAAATTTCACCAACATCTGACAGCTAGTTTCACTGTGTTTAGAGCAGCTGGTTATTCGCATTGCTTAAACAACCCACAATTTATGTAAAACTCATTTATATACGAAATCAACATGAATGGCAGTTTCAGCCAAGCTTAAGATGAATACCTAGCTTATGATTTCCTTCAGGTGGACACACAACTTCAAAAATATCCCGAGGTTCTACGTGGACAAATAATTAAGGTGTCAAAGGATCGTTTCCTTTAAATATCATAGTCATATCTAGTTGAATTCGCTGATGGCTCACTATCAGTCAAGGTATTACTAGGTATGCATGGTTGTCGGGATTTCAGCTAGCCACTTGTAGAATTATACGACATGATCTCAAATGATAATGACAAACAGAATCTGAAAAGTACAATACTCTGCAGGTATCCTCCAGGCCTGAAAAGCTTGCTTTAGCTTAGCATATACATATGATTTTACTCACGTGGAAAGTATTTGACTCACTTGTGCCTTAGTTTCGAAAGGTCAAACAATCCGTTCAAGATGAGTAAATTAGGTTTGAAAAACGCATAGTTTAGTTCCAGTGAAACCCAATTCTGTTCACTGCTTTACGCTTGGTTCATCATACTACGTAAAGCAGTTCGACCCAAACGACCTAAAACCTTATGTAATTTTTGAGCTGCAGGTAATGTATGCAACCCACTAAATTAGTTATTTATTTTCAAGATCAATTTATTTTTGGAATCAAATTCAGTGTGCTCAGACTGGATGCTTTATTATCAGTGTCCCTTTTTCAGTTTCTCTCATGGCCAGAACATGAATTGGTAGGTCCATCGAGCACGCGAAGTGAGACAGCGTTGAAGATTTTGACGAAACCTTGTAATAAATCCAACAAAGGAGCCGAATATCGCGGAGCATCTATTCCTAGTCCTTTGGAGGTATATGCCGACAACCGAGTGTAAGTTTTTTTAGTGTCTGTGTGTGTTTTATCATGTAAATCAATACGGAGGTTTACACTTGTTGTACCACAAAACGGCGGGTAGACAAGCTGAACGAAGGTTGAAAATGACGGTAAACAGTGTAATACTGTAACCTTAAGAATAATACGTCATCTTATTTACGTCAAACAATTGTTGAAAAACTACAAAACAAGCTATAACTATAGTGCAGGCCTTTAGACTTGTTCGGATTGAATTATACCAATATTTCCTTGCAACTACGCAGCTCGAAATTAGTTTGAAACACAGAAGTAAAATGGGCTGACAAAAATAAAATTAATCACCAAAATAATGCTAGGAAAAAGTCATGTATAACATCAATCACAGACAAAAAAATATTGGGATCACAGAAAAGCGCCAATGTGATTTTCTGGTTTGACAAATAAGTAGAATTATGTCAAGAAATTAGACTAGTTGAGGGCAGTCGACAGTAGTTTTCAATTTTCCAAAAACTGTCGTGGAAAACCTAGTAGACGTTGAGCCCATTAGTCTTGGATTTTAAGGAGTTTGTTAATGTAGGACTAGACTAGTCCTGGAAAGCTCTTCGGAGCTTTATGGTAGAAAGACATGCATCCTGCATGCCTTGTTCATCAGTTAGAAAAGCTTCGATTCATTATCATCACAAAAATCTCACAAATCTAAGGGGAAATTCGTGCTTGCAATTTCCTGAACAGTAGTTGAAGATCTAAAAGTTTGGCCAAGAGAGTCTTATCGGTGGTATGAGTGGCTCGCATTTAAACAGGATATAGCACCTTTCAATCTCCAGTCAAGGAATTCACATTAAGCGCTCACGGGTTAACCGGCTCGTCGAGTGACGAATTATCAGATGAAAAGTTCAGTCATCGTGCCAATTATTCTCCCACCGAGCTACTTGTATTATTTTGATATTTTGAGGAGATTTTGCGGCGGTGATTTTGTCCTGTGTGTAAATGTGGTATTGGAGCCGTCTGACGGATTTCATAGAGCCGGCTTTAACTGCTATTCGACCTCACGCAGACCCGAAGTCAGAAGAGATCAGTAGGACCATCCGTACTTGGAGAGTTGGCTTTATATAAATATATATATATATATATATATACATTGTTTACGTATAGCAGGCTCCGTCAAGAAGCAGATAGGGCGGTAGCAGCCGAGGTCAGTTCAGGTACAGCGTAACTCGGCCATAA